CGCCGCTGTCGCTGCTGTCGCCGCTGTCGCGATGTGGCGCAGCGCCGGCCTCGCTGGCGACGCGCAGGTATCACGAGCGGCCTGGGGCCACTCGAGGCTGGCTCTGAGGCCGGGCCCGGCCCGGGGGCCCGTGTGGATGCCCCGAGGTGCAGAAGGAGCGGGGGGGTTGTGTGGTGGTCCTGGGCCTTGTGGGGCCCTGAGGGGGCGATGGCGGGGCCGCAGGTAGAGGGGAACGCGGTGGGAGCTGTAGAGCGGTGCCAGAGGCACCCTGGGCTGGTGGGGCGTGGGTGGGGAGCGGGCTGGCAGTGATTGCTTGCTAGGGCTCCATCGCCAGCTGGGAGCTCTGCCCTGTTCTGGCAGGGAACTGGGATTTCCTTCACTGGGCTCACAGCAGGCAGGACATGAGCTCAGGTGCATAACATTTCCCTGTGAAAGAACTCGCTGAAGCCAAATTTCCTACCTCCAGCCACCTGCTGTTACTTCAAGGACTGGACAGAAAACTCCTGTTCTCTCCTGTCTGTATTTGCCTTTAACATACTCATGTAGTGCAGAGAGATGTGGAGAAGCTGCTTAAAACAGAGGAAATAAAACTTGTCTGCTGTACTGCTGCACTGCAAGGACCTGTGCTTACAGCAGGAACCACAGATGAGAATTTTCTCCTTACTGCATATTTCATATCTCAACACCAATGATTCACAGCGTGTTTTATTTGAATTCAGCTTCTGCTAGTGAACAGAGCTATTTTTATGTACCAAATTTTCCTCTGTAAGTCTGAGTGATGCTGAATTCTCTCTGTCATTCATGGTTACTGACATGCAGATGGCATTCCTCTAAAGACTCCTCTTCCTATGTGTTTTTTCCATGCTTTCTTGAGACCTAGATGAGTGGAATTTTTCTAGACTCGCGTGGTGTGGTGCTACTTGGCCTTATCCACCTTGCCATAAGCACTTCCTAGAGCAACTTGGAGCTTACAGTTCAAATTAAACCAAAGTCTTTATTCCATACCTTTATTACAGCAATGAACCTGCAGAGGTGGGATTGACCTGTCCCAAAACTCTGGATTTGAAAGATGGCTGGGAAAGAAATAGAGTAGAAAGCAAAACTGAAAGGAAACGTTCAAATCTGGGGAAGTAGGGAAGCAGAAATAATTGTAGGGAATGGTTGGAGAGGATGAACTTCCATTTGTGTTGTGTGCCTGCTCTTGGGAGGGCTGTGGGGATGGCGCATTTTGAACCTGTCAGAGATGAGATTTTGGTTTGTTAGCCTCTTTCCTCTGGAATATGATGTGATACATAAAAAAATGTCATTTTGTCAGCACTGTTCTCAGTGCAGTGCAAAGCAGTACTATGATATCTTTGCTTTCTGAAAGTGTATTAAGTGAATGATGTTTTAGTCAAAACATGTTAAAACTTTGTTGGTGTGTGTGTATCAGCCTTTTTAACATCCAGCAGAGTACACTTGTATGTACATCAGAAACTGGACTTTATGGGGTTTTTTTTGTACAGAAATTTTAAAATTAACACACATTCTACTGGAATATTGAATGAAAATTGTTCTAAAAAACAATTCTAAAAGTAAACTTATGTTCTAAAACTTTTTTTCTAAAAAAGTTCAGCAGGAAAGGAAGCTAGTAAACATTTCTGTCTTACCTCGGGATTAAATTATTTACATGAGGTTGGGTTGCAGATGGCTGCAAATAATTTTTGCTCTTCACAAAAGATAAATTGGTTTTATACAGTTTCCTCCGAAAGAGTTGTTGTAATTTAGGACTGAGGGTCTTGCAAATGTTTGAATTAATTAAAAAGCTGAGTAATTTTATACTTTAGGACAGTCATGAAACAACAGCTTGGCATATGCTGCTCACATTTTAAAATGTGAGTGTTAGTTTTTACAGTGTTCTCAGATGTATTGCACACACATTTGGGGTGAAGAAACACATGCAGAGGGGTAATACTATTTACTTTAGACCAAAATTAAGATTTAGGCAAAAATTAAGATTAACAGTCAAGGGGTCAACCTCAGAGACTTTTGGGTTTGATTGCTGGATAGTTCTCTTAAAGAGTTGCAAATTTCTGAAATGACATCATAGAGAGGAATATTTTTGTCCAATAAAAGAAATTGAAGCTGCAAACCACTACAGGACTCTAACAGTGTGTTTGGTTGGTTGTTGGTTTGTTTGTTTTTGTTTTGCTTTTTTGTTTTATTTCAGAAGGCTGAGACCAAAGAGGAATTTGTAAAAGTTAGAAGGAGGGATTTGGAAAGGCTGACAACTGAAGTTATGCAACTGCGGGATTTCTTACCCAAAATAGTAAATGGAGATATCTTGGGGACATTCCAGAAGCTGGATGCTATTGAATCAAGTGAGTAGCACCATCTTACAAGCTCTTGCAGTTTCTGCCAGAACTGCTTAGAACAAACTGTTGTGCCCCAGAAATAGTTGTAGAGTTTGTGGAGCTGTTCCAGATTCAACTGTGTTGTTCAGTGACTGCTTCAGTAAATTAATGTGTTTGTAGTGAAGAAAATTACAGGCTGCCTTAGGATAATCAGACATGTCAAATTAATCTTTAAAAATATTTTACTGTAGATAAAAACATATGTAGTTCAGGCAGTAAGGGAAGCTGTATGAGGAAAAAAAAGTGTTTACCCTTTGAGAAAAGGCAAAAACATTTCGTTTTTCAAAAGGTCACTTTGCACAGAACAAAAACCCCCAACAAAATAATGGTAAATAACAGTGGGTAAAATTTGAAGGAAGAGTAAGTTAATCTTGTATTTGGCTTGTCTTGTTTTTTAGCTTGTATGCTTTACTAATAAAAAAAAAAATAATTCTGTAATAGAAGTATTTTTCCTGCTGTCCCCAAAGTGCAGTTTTTCAATGTTATGTTTCTCTGTGCATTACTTTTTTTCAAAAATTACCTCACTCCCAACAAACCACCAGGGCCAAAGAGGAGTCAGCTCCATCCCTAGCCCATAGCTTATCTGCAGCTGTACAATTTACCTGGATTTGGGTTTGCCTGAAAAGACATGGAAAAAGCACTGAGACAGATTAGAGAGAGCGTGTCTCATCTAGAATACCAAGTGATGAATGGGAAATGAATTTGAAACAGCCAGCTAAGAAAGAGCAGGACAGGGCCTCAAAGCCTGTGTCTGACAATGTAATATATTGGGGCAGAGCTTCCAGCTGCCTCAATGATCCACTCTTTGGGAAAGTTCTTCCATGTCACAAGCAGTGGATACGGTCTGGAAGTGTCCTCTTTATGCTGTTGCAAGGCATCAAGGGCTGTTTCCAGTTGGGTTAAGTGTTCAAGATCCTCAATTAGTTTTTACCTACTTATCCTGAGATTCCTCTCACTGATCCTTCTGACATTCCTTGTGCCAGACATCAAGGAGACACTGTCAGGGCCACCCACAGCAGGCTTATGGCATCAACATGGAGATTTTAAAACTTCCTGAAATGTTCTGCTGGCTGCCCAGCATTCTCTGGGTCCTCTAGAGCAGGACCTGAAGCTGAGTCAGCCTTTGAATTCTCTTCAGTCTTTCTCCACAGTGGAGATTTCTCTTGCAGGTGATGAGGTCATTTGAATATTTATTCAGGCTCTGGCCATCGTGTGCCCCTACAGCTGGACAAGTGAAGTGGAGATTTTTGCTGCTCCAGTCTTCTCCTACCTCTGCAGCATGAAATAAGGCAGACTGAAAGAAGTCTTTGAAGCATATGCATCACTAAAGATTGGACATCACAGGGACACAAGCAGCCCTCACTCTCAGAATGGTGCTGTTTGCTACGTACAGCCTCTTGGTGTGGCATGTGAAGCTCACAGGAGTCCTGGCAGCTTCTAGAGATGTCTTTTCACGTTGTTCCTACAGAAGCCTAACATGTGATTTGTACATCTCCAGACTTCCATCAGCTGTTGCAGTTTTCTGGGTACTGTTGAGGTATGCTTGAGCAGAAGAGTCTTCTGCTTCTCAAGAAGTGCAGATTACAGTCAGAGGCTTTCAACACCTCTGGCCCATTCAGTTGAGAGGCTGATGGAGTCTTGAACAGCTTTGAGAAACCTTGAGATCTTTACACGTTTCACTGGTGTGTGTAGGTCAGTAGAACACACCCATTTCCTGTGGCTTCCCAGGGGTGATGTCTGAGATCTGAGCTGGTGGTGCTCAGTGCAGCCAACACCTACTTTTCAGGCTTCTGTCAGGGTCTTCATTAAGATTTGAGCCAGGGTAGTTTTCATTTCAAAAAGAGGTCTCTGGTTTTTTCTTATTACCCTTCTCGGGAAGAGTGCTTGGCACCAGGAGTCTTAGAAAAACAGCTCCAGAAGTCTTAGAAGTACAGCTCCAGCAATTTTTGTGTACTATTATGGATCTGTTTCATGCAACTTGCTCCACTTGGGAAGCGTTAAGAAGTAGCATTTGACTTTGATCTAGCATTTGAATGAGCAGAATTTTAATTCCATCACTTCTTGGTATTCATTCCTATTGTACTCAGTTCTCCACTTTCCAGAGTTTTGAGATTAGAACTCTGATCCAGAAAATCTCCTGCTATGATCTATAACTTTCTGTGGATGAGAATGAGTCTACTTCACATCTGAAATGGGGGCCTTCTCTTCTTTCCTGTGCCCAGTGCCTTGTTCTGCTTTTGAGTCTCCATCTTGGGAGCAAGTGCCACTTCTTCCCAGAGTCTGATATACCACTGGAGTGATGAAGTTACATATTTCTTCTTTGTGTGAAGGTGCCATTTCATTTTTTTTTTTGCTCACCCAAGTTGGTAGTGACAGCTGCTTCTTTCTCTTAAGAGAAAAGGCACAGCTGGGAAAGCTGATTTGTCATAGCAGGGGAGTTTCCACAAATGAGGGACAACTAGAGCAGCTTCCACTATTGTCCTTTTTGACCCCTTCTTCATAAAACATTGTGACACCTTCAGTGACATTGACACATACTTCTTTTATCTGAAGCCCTTTAAAAAATCCAGGTTATGTTGTGTTAACGCTCAGTAGTCAATGTTATTGTCCTTCTGGCTCAGGTTTGGTTCCAGGACCTTTGAAGTTTGCTGGTGAAGGACGGGGCATCTTTGTGTGTCTTCTGGCTCGTTTTAGGTTGGATCCATCCTCTCAAAGGCTGGAGGTGATTCTTCTCTTTCTGAAGAGCTTGTTTCCTTGCAGGGACAGAGATTTTCACTGGATGAGCTTACCTGGAATAGCTGAACAGGTTCTTGGCTTGCTGTTGGTAAGAGCATGTTCTGCTCCTGCTCATGACATCTTGCTGTCAACTTCTTAGGACTCACACCCACACAGTCAGAAGTGCATGAGACTGAATTTTTTCCACTTGACAGAAGGAAAGTTTCTTGCTACTGACCAGAGTTATCCTCAAATACTCAATTAACCCATTCCTCCCTTCATTCTTTTCCTTTGGACTACAGCTTGAAAAGGAGTTACTAACAGAGCATGTCCTGGCACAGAGATATTTCTCAGCAGTGAGCCCTTGCCTTGCCTCTTTATTTTCTGCTAAAAAGTGCTGCTGGCTTGGAATCACATGAGGGCTGAGTGGAAATACATTCTACCTCTTCAGATAAATCAGCCACAAACAGCTTTTCTCCTTTTATATAGGCTACTCAAAGCAGTGTGTGTATATTTGAGATGATAAACTTGACAATTAGCACAAAAACAGGAAGTATCACTTTTCAAATCATGTAGAATTACTTAATAGAATGCCAGAAGCCAAGTCCTTTGTTTAATAAGAATATATTTGGATAATTTTTAATGATGTCTTTTTATGATAGAATTTGATATGATTTTTGGTAATTACATTAAAAAATACTGTCACATGTTGGGGGAAGTATTTCAAGTGTGTTAAGCCATCCACCAAACTGTCATGTTCAAAGGTACAGTGTTTGAAGTGGGGTGTAATTTATTATTTTTTAAACTAACCAAGGTTACAGTAGATGCTGTTTGGATTTTACTTTTTGGAGCTACTTAAACATGTTTCCCTTTTTCAGTACAAATACTAAGCATCAAGGATTGTGTTTTTTTAAAGTAAAATACAATACACAGCTATTGTTAAAACTGTCCTTCAAAAAGAATTTTTTTAAACAGGCATCATGTTGGTGAAATGGAATACTTTTAACTTGATTTTTGTTCACTACAATAAAATAAAATGCTTAAGTTAGAATGAATTTCTGATAACAGAAATTTCTGATAACATCAGAAATTAATTTTAGAAGGGAATCTTAAAATTTGCTTGTAACTGAAATATTGGTTAAATAGTTTATAATCATAGAATCACAGAATGTGTTGGGTTGGAAGGGATCTTAAAAAACATCCAGTTCTAACCCCATTGCCATGGGCAGGGACAACTTCCACTAGCCCAGGTTGCTTATACTAAATTATAATAGTATTATTATTTATAAAATACTATTTTAAAATATTTGGAATAGTTGCTTTTAATTCTTGCTATCCATGTAAGTTGTACTTTTGACTACTGTTGGTATTTTTCTTACATTTTCAATATAGTCACTGACTTGGGTGAAATTTCACTCACGGATTTTTCATGGAAACCAACATGAGAACAAAGTAGAAAACTGAGTAAATGTTAAAAAATATTTTCAACCCTACCAGTGTTTAACAGCTAGATGTGATTCTGTTAAATCGGATGTGTTGGTTTGTTTTCTGAGCTGTTGCCACACAGCAAATTGTGGGATTCCCATTTAGCCACGGGGAGGTGATCTCGCACAAGCAAACGGCTGAGGCACCTCAGTAAAGTCACACTTGGTGGATTCTCTTTGCTTTAATGCAGACCCAATGACCACAATGTGTTCCTTCTTTCTTTTACCTGATCTATGCTGTCACAGACCTGGAGAAAAAGGAGGAGGAAATAGAGCAGCTGAGAATGGATTGTGAACACTACAGAGCCCGTCTGGAAACGGCCCAGGCAGATTGCATGAGAGAAAAGAAGGTAGATTTGCTGCCAGGAAATTGATATCTGTGTGTTTGAGTTTTAGTAACAAAAGGAGTAATGATAAAATTTTCATTTTCATGTCACAAATTGAATCCTCAGTCTCAAAAACAATTTGAGATTTCTATCCAAATAGTCATCCCTAACCATATGAACACGTTAAAGTAAAACATCGGGTATTTGGGAAGATTGTGGAGTAGCTGGAATCAAAAGGTCCTTCACAGAATCAGTTCTTGTGAATTTAACATTGCTAATTGTGAGTTTAACATATTTGCAAAGAGGACAACGGAACATAGTTTAAGCAGTGCAATGTACAGAATGAAAGCAGCCTCTCTTGGTTTGCTGTGAGATGTGGACTTTTATTTAGTGTTAATAGTCTTTCTCCAAGCACCTATTGATCCAATTGCCATGTACAGCTGAGAATCAAAGAGCAATTTCAGGGCTCTTCTTTGTCAATATTGTATTAAATGATTATGAGAGGGGAGATTCTTAACAATTAAGGAGTAGCAAAGACACTGATTTCTCAGACTGTGAAGCCATTTGAGTTCAAATGAGTCTCTGTGAGACTCAGTGGTGATTATTTGCTGCAAAAGTTCATTTCCTTGGAGCCATCTTCAGTAGTCAGCAGTTGGGGTTATACAGCTGGCATTTGCCAGCCTTGGGATTGCACAAAGACAGATGAACCACAAAACTTACTTCAGTTTTGAAAAGGAGTAATGAAGAGTTCAGAAATGCACTTTCAGTGACATCTGCATAGACAAGACACTCTGGAATGAAATTTGTTATGATGGAATAGTTGCCAATCTGGATATTCCTTATTTCAAAATAAATATCTTCTGGGATAGGTGTTGCAGTTTAGCAATAGGTACAGAGTTCATACTGCTGTGCACTGAGGTCTTCAGTTCCAGGATAAAATCCCTGTAAAATTGAATGTTGTTGCTTTAGATGTTAATGAAGTGAGTCCAACCATGATTCTTGTTAATACTACAAAATAAAGGGCAGGTTTTGTTTTATGATTTCTTTTGGATGAGTTTTACTTAAATCATGGATAGGTTACTAGGAGCAGTTGTTTTAGTGTTTCTGCTCAAATCTCTTCATGACTTTGTGCAGTGTGGGGCAGTTGTCTGTCTGGGTTCTCTTACATGTCAGGAAGGTGTATTTCAGTGGACTGTGCTCATGATGTTGTGAAGTCCTTTAGCTCTTCAGGATACAACAAGATGGTGTATGTATATGAGTGATTTTTGCTCCTGTTAATCACTTTTCTGGTGTTTTTCATTTGGTTGCTCTAGGCATCCTTGTGTAGAATTTGTGAATTATTTTCTATATATTTATCTTCTGAAGGAGAAAAAAATTATTCACTGAAACAAACATGAAATAAATGCATTTCTGGTTGAGCAGTGTCGTTTTCTGAGGCTGTCATAAATCAACATTTTGCATTCCAAATTCTCTGTGCAGAGCTGTATCACTGATGAGGGAATTGCTGTGCTTTCTGAACCTGAGCAAAACTTGAAGTGCACATGTTATTCTTGGCTAATGTCTCCTTTGTCTGTCTTTTTGCAGTTCCATACTTGGTCACTGCTGTGTTTTTGTGCCTTGACCTTTTCCTGAAGATGGTGGTGTTGGATAGCACAGGCATTGCTGGGTGATGTGAGCTCTTAGGAGTGTTGCTTCCAGCCAGGTTATTTGCTTTTGCAGGCTCTGTTTATTTTCCTGGCTCTTGAATGTACTACTTTGTTTTCCTTGCCTCATATCTTTGTTCTGATGTTGCTTTTGATCTACTAAAAATTCTGGCATTTTTTTCTGCTGGCTTTGCATGCTTGATGGGGGATCTGGATTTGGTATTACTGGGTTTTATGTCTTACTCAGTATAAGCATCCAAATGCAAATAAAATGTATTAAAGATACATTTCCCTAAGACTAGGACAGTGTGGAAAAGACAGGGAGAATACAGGGATTAGACAGGAAGATGCCTGAGGACATTTTGTGGATGAACATGGTGGCAGAAAAGCTGATAGGCCTGGCAGTGAGTCATGTAAAAGATGGAATTTAGCTAATTTGCTTAAAAACGATCAAAGTATTAAGCTATAAGAGACTTTTCCTGGGAGATTATGCCTATGGAATCAGCAGCAAGTGTCGTTCTTTTGCACATGTAGGTGAGACAGACTTCAGAGAGTAAATACACACAGAAGTCTACTTGAGAAATTAAACCTGAACTTTACAAATCCTCACCTGTGTGTTGCATCAGCAGCAGTGCAAATCGGGCTGGTAGGTGTGATCAGGAGGCTCAGTAGGTAGTTGGTGACAAACATGCAGCTTTGTACTGGTTGACACCACATAATGTAAATTTTCAGATGAGTTAATATTTCTATTCTTTCCAAACCCTCAACATGAAGCACTGAGGTGAACCCCAAAAAGCAACAAGGTACTTAAAGTCTTGATGACAAAACATGGTTGAAAGTCTTGTTCTGTTTAGTTGCTTTCAAAATTGACATAGAAAAGATTCCTTCTCATTTCCCCATACTTCATCCTGACAAACACATTGGGAAGGCTGAGCTGAGGAAGGTGCTTTCTGCAGTGCATTTGAAAATACCATGTCTGTAAATGGGCAAAGCAAGAGCCTTCTGGTTTTTGACATTGTGCAATCTGTGATTCTCTCTCTTTTAATACTTGAATTAGCATCATTTTTCTGGCCTGGCCTTGGTCTTTCCCTGCAGCACTGTCTAATACCACCCTACCTGGGGTTAGTTGGGAGCCCCCACCCACCCTGAGACACGGACTGCAAAATCCCTGCCTTGATCTCACTGGCTTTAAACCGAGAAGTGCAGCAGCTTTGCTACTCTTGTGGCAGCTGGTAGAAAGCTAGTGAGACCTAGAATCCTGCCCAATTCCATGATACTCTTCTAGCCAGCTTCCCATGTGATTGGAAAAATGTACTGCCAAATGGAAGTTGTGCTCTGGTTCTGTAGGGTTGATTTGTTCTGTCTTTATGCTTTGTGGCAAGATCCACTCAGCAGCTCACTTAAGTGGTCACAGAATCATTGTGTCACACAACAGTTTGGGTTGGAAGGGATTTTGGAGTTGTGTTACCTCATTCCATCCCCACTGCTGTGGGCAGGGACGACTTTCACTAGATCAGGTTGCTCAGAACCTCATGGATGCACAGTGGTGCCTCGGCTTTCTTGCAATGGAAGGTCCTACAAACTTCAAACCTTAGGTGTTTTTTTTGGGAACTCTGTCTTGCTTTGCCACTGCTGCTCAGGACTACGCTGACAGAAGAGAGTTGGAAGAGAAACAGTTTTTATCCTAGGTATCCAGCAACTTTCCATGCTGGCTAGAGCAGATGCCTTTTTTGAAAAAAAACCCCTCCCCTCCTGTAAGATGTTTCCTCTATCTTTTGGAAGGTGTCAGGGAATGCTGGCCCCTGATGCTGAAATCCCCTCTCTCTTGAAGAGACATGGAGCTGTTTGCTCAGGGGGAGGTGTCTCCTATCAGGCTTCTCTAGGTGCCACTCAGTCTCAGTGGGTCACTTGGCTTGACCTTGTGGACAGTTCCTGGTTTCTGTCAGCCTGCACTACTTAGAGACCGCTCAGGAGAGAAGGAACATGTGTGCAACTGCTTTGGGTTACCCTCCATTTCAGAGAGGGCCATGATTGTGTTTCTTGTTCTGACCCCCTAGCCTAGAAACTTGGTGTGGGAGATATGAAGTGCAACCAAAATTTCCTTACGCTGTTCCAGGAGAAGCTGGACCTGCGGCAGCAGCTGAGTGAGGCCAAGCAGCAGCTCCTGCAGCAGGCAGAGTATTGCACAGAGATGGGAGCAGCCGTGTGCACCTTGCTCTGGGGGGTGTCCAGCAATGAGGAGGCTGTGAAATCCATTCTAGGAGGAGTAAGTATGGCAGGTGAATACTGACCCCTGGGAGTGCTCTCAGGCCTATGAAACAAGGACCTTTAAAATAAGTGCCCTGCTGTGGAACACACTTTAAGGATGTATTTCAGAAGCTGTCTGGACAGCAAAAGTGTTTTCTGGTTTTCCTGTTCTTTGGGAACCATCCATTTTTGTTTTAGAAGCATTGGAGCTGTGAAGTGTTATGAATAAATGCAGTAATTATTTCTTTTGTTACAAATGAGGGTTATCTGTTTTCCACCACACACAGTTAAACTGGAAGCAAGGCTACAGTTAGCACAATGTAAATATCTTCACAAGCTAACAGGAGGAGAGAATAGTTCCTGGGCACATACAGGAGTTTCCATGCCTGTGGAGAGCTTGGAGGAGCTATTTCCGTGGAGAAAAGATAGATCTGTTGATTCCCAACTTTAAATCTCTCTGCTGCCTTAATACGTGAATGACTCTTGGAAAGTCTTGGAACTCTTCAGAGATCCTCACTGCTCGTGGATCATATTAAATCATCAATGTTAAACATTGGCAAGTAGATTATTTGAAAAAAACAACAATAATAACAAACCACAAAACCAAAAGAACAACAGTTAATGACAGTAGTAATATTGCAGCTATCACTATTTCACTGCCAAGTGCAGCTGATGGAATTAGGAGGGACTAGGGCAACAGGCCTGATAAAAATACGATTTTCATTCTTGACACAGCCAGCATGAGGAGGAATTGCTGTATTTAATCTGAATGAACTGATGCCACAGTTTCTTTTGCCTTGATTTTCAGCAGCATGATGAACAACTGTGTGAGTAGGATTAGTTCATTATAGTAAGTGGTAAACCAATGTGTTTGTAAGAACTGTTCTAGTTGGGTGTTCCAAAATACAATTACAACTTTATATTGGATATTAGAAAGCTGTACAGTGGTGCCTTATTAATGATAACTTCTGATGTTTCCAGATACAAGCAGCAGCAGTTACTAGGGAAAACATCTGTAAAGCACTTTATAAAGCAGTAAATTTATAGAACAAGGCTGGTTGTTGAAAGCAGTCTTAAGTATTAATATTCAGTTGAATTAGTTAAAAACAAAACTGTTGCCTGAAGATTTGTTTGAAGGTAAAAAACCCAACTGTGAAGATGCAATGCTTTGGGAGTTAGGTTGGTTTGAAATGCAAAATACTTCTAGTCATTTCTGCAATCATTAAAGCCTGTTGAGCTGCTGTACTTCTGGTGAAGATGAGAGCAACATTTGGGGGCATCATTTTCTTGAGATGGTAAGAAACGTGCCTGGGCTTATGACAAGACTCCTAGGAAAAGCATAAATGGATTGTGTGGCATAGTGTCAACCACAGATTGCAACTGGCAGTGAGTCAGGTCATTAAAAGATGATGGAGATTTGTCATACGACATATTTGGTTTGGGTTATTTTGGGACAAGTTGTACAGCTTGTAGCTTCTTCCCTCCTCCCCTGAGAAGGTGCTGTGAACTACAGAAATGTATGAGAACATCAAGGGTGCTTTGAAACTGAAGCACATGGGGAAGGTGGCATCAATTCAGAATCATGTCGTGCCTTAGGGAACAATGCCCAAGCTTTTTTCAGTCCTTCAAGCAACACAGGAGTAGGTCTTTCTTCCAGTCCTGTAATGCAAATGGACTGAAATCATGTTAGTGACCAATATATGTTTTGTGTCCATAAGGATTGGGAAAATCAGAACTTAAGCAGCAGATTTGAAATGTGACACAGGTAGTTCTCAAGGCAGTAGGGGAGAGATGCCTGCTGGTTTTGCCCATGTTCCTGGAGAGAATTTGAAGAGGCATCCAGAGAAGCATCATGAGAGAGTTTTCAAGGTTTCCTACCTGCAGCTACCAAAAAAAGAAGTAAATTAATTCCCATGAGATTGTTTTGGACATCTTTCAAAAAGCTTCAGTTAGATATGACAGGCTTCTCACATGGAAATACAACCTGGAAGTTTGATTTCAGAACAGCATCAAGGCTTGCTTCAACTTGAGAAATTTTTGATCCTACAAGGTGTTTTGCTACTTCAGTTGTCTGATACAGTGACAAATGACTTCATGTTTTGTGGCAGCAATTTTTTCATGTTACCTGGAGCTTTCACACAGGATTTCCACAGACAGCAGAGGGTTCATTGCACCATCTGAGCTCAAGCATCTTAATGGCTGCTTTCAGAACTGGCCTTATCTCAACGTGTGTGGGTGAGACATTCTTCAGTCCCATGAAAATGCCGTCAAGTTAATAAGAGATTGTGCAGAGTGTGCAGTGTTTGCTATTTATAAACCTGATGGGTTTCTGCTGGAGCTCAGCACTAGTTAAGTAGTGGCTGTCTGGAAAGGAGGATCAGCAGAGAGGACACCAGTGAAACTTCAAGAGGTTGGCAGATGGAAGATTTCTTCTGTTTTCTGTGCAGCATACCAACTTCTCAGAGTGCTTAGTACCTTCATGTTCCCATGTGAATATGTATTTTCATAATGACTTGTTGGGCTCCTCATTTTCTCTCACACCCCCTTGCTTCTTGAGCTATAGTCAGTGCTTGTGTTAAAACTCCTGTCTTTGAGGAGTGGTGTCCATATAAAAACTACATCCAGCACATGCACTTACCTTCCTCCTCTTGCTCCATGATCCCTTCATTCCTGTTCTGGGGCCACAGCATCATTTGTGAAGATACTGTGTTGACTGAGCCTGCTTTTTGTCCCCTCTTGCTGAAGTCACCCCGCAGGAACGATACATCTTTAATGTGGTGAATGTGCAGCAGTAGAGGAATAAATAAATGTTACCACTAGCTTTGCAACAATTTTGCAAAAGTATTAAGATTTTCAGTCACTTTACAAAATGAATAAAAGTTCAGGCATTTCTTCAACTCTCCCATTGGGTCAGTGCTGGGAATGACCAGAAATTTCAACTGCTTCATGAAACACCTGGAAAAATTATTAAAGACACTGGGAAAACCCAGCATTATGGGCTTTCTGCCACACTATTTTGGTTATGAAAGCCTTCATCCTCTGTGGGAAATAGAGTTCCAGCAAAGTTTTACTTTGTCAGAATTACCAATACACAGAAACAGGTCTCTCCATCCTTCTTTGTGGACTCTGCACCTCAGGCCAGGCTCTTTGACCAGCCCTTAGCTTTGTACCAGGTGGTGCTCCCTCAGCTGAGATACCTCCAGATGGAGCAGGATTGCAGCTGAGGGGAAAAGACTGTTCCATAATTACAGCCTGTGCTCCTGTTCCTATGCTCTGCTGTGGTGATTAATTTTTCTCACGTGATGTGGTTGACTTAAGTTCAACCTGTGACTCAGGAGAGACCTCCATTTCCTTTTCCAAAGAACTCCTGCATAACTTGTTAATCTCCATGCTGTATTGAGCAATTAATGAGTCCTATTAGGATCCATTTGAATTGGCTTTTTTTTCCTTCATTGTTTTCTTAGGAATTTAATGCTAAGTCTCCAGTCTTCAGCTGATTTTGACAAAAGCTACTGTAGTAGACCAGGTAAATGTGAAACACCTGGTGCAACTACTGCAAAACAGAGATAATATTTTTACTTCTGATAATAAGCTTTAATTCTGCTGGTTGATTATATATAATTGTGTGCTTAGGAGGTAGATATGCTGTAGTTCAGTTTTATTAATAAATGTAGCATTGAGTAGTTTCCTGTTTTGTTCTAAGGTAATGGTTTCAAATATTAGGGGATCAAACATGTCACTCAATGAATACCTGGTATTTTCTGTTGTTTATTTGAAGTAACTGGATGTTTTAATAATTTGGAAGATTGACCAGTTTTTACTGTAGCATCTAATAATTATAGTTGCTGTAGTGTGTATAATCTTTCTTCTCCTCCATACTTGCAGAGTAAAGCAGTAAAGTTTTTCACAATCACTGCCCAGACCATGGAGAGCTTTGTGAAGTCATTAAGTGAAGACATGAAACAGCAGGATTTGGATTCTGAGGAAAATCAGTTTGTATTAGCTTTGGCAGGGATTGTAACAAGTAAGTTAGTGTTGTGTCTCAGAATAGCATTCCACACCTACTGGGAACTTGTACTGCCTCATAGAAGCTGCAGTAAATACAGCTTTTCAAAGTTAAGTTGTCAATGTTGATATCTTGGGTGACTTTCTGGTTTTCTAAAGGTCCAGCAAATTTTGTCACAGACACTTCTGGTACAGAAGTGCTCTTCAATTTCAGTTCTGTTACACTTCTGTGCTGCCTGGGACATCGTTAAGGATCAGATGGGTAGGAGCCATTGCGTTCTGAAATTCCCTGTTGCATCCCTCAGTCTGAAATGAAACAAGGACCATTGTACCAGCCTTGTGTGCTCACATTAGTTTGTACACATTGAGCAATGTACTTTGTGAATCACCAGTGATGCCAATATCTACAAGATTACAAATTGCCAATGGTGCAAATAGATCAGCCCCAGCTTAAGGCATGGACTGAGGATTTTTAAAGTGCTTAAAAAAATGGTTATTGTCAGATATGCTGCACTTTGACTGTATAAGAGAAGTAAAAGGTTATAAACCTGACTTCCATACTAAGTGGTTTTCTTTAGGGCCAGAAAATAAGTAAAAAGCCACATATCTGTTGTAGAATAATGTGCTTGGTTTGGGAAGCTGTGAGGCACAAGGTTGATACATCTGAATTTCTGTGAAACTGTAACTGTCAAAATTACACTAAAGACATGATGCAAGGTAGATGAAACAGTCAATATTGATACAAATAAATGAATCTTGAATGAACAGCTTTTCTGAATGTGGGATTTTTAGCTGTTTGGATGTCAATAAAGATAAATAAAATAAAAAAATTATTAGGTGATGCATTATGCTACTTGTACTGAGTAGGGGGCTGGTATAAGGGAAAATAATAAAGAAAAGTCTGCTTTGGAACAGTAGCCTTTGAAAATAATTTTGTCTTTTGGTTTGTGCTTGAATAATGCCACACTTCCATAGAGGCAGGAATTAACCCCTTTTTTTGGTTATGTGATGTGCCAGGTATATTGAATTGAGTGGTTGTAAAACTCTGCAATCCTGTTCCTTTAAAGTGGAACCTATAATGGTCAGCTTTGTTTCAGTCACACATTACCTGTGGATGAATATAGCCTTTTGTTTCACAATTTACTGTGCTGCTATTGGGACACTGGGCATTTTGAATAAATGCTTTGGTTGTCAATGCAGAATTTTGAAGGAGCTTGACCAATGTTTGTTGTTCAATATTTGCTGTACAGCCTAATGTAGTCTGAGGTTTATATCAATGCCATAGTTCATTCTTCACAACTGACCTATCTTTTTAGTGGTCCTGATAATTAGCATAAACTTCTGTTTGAAACATGATTTTTGGTGATGTTTTGTGCTTTCAGATGTGGCTGCGCTGGCGTGTGGCCGTGAGTTCCTGGTCAGTTCCAGTCGGGAATTACTGGACACGATGATGCATCTCCTGGGAGACATGAAGCCAGGACTCTGTAACAAATTTAAAGTGTATGTTGACTTTTTTGCCCCTTTCAGGTGAAATGCATTATCTTGCAGTGCAGTTCAAGTGATGACAGCAGTTTTCCCACTCTCCCATTATCCCTTTCCTGGAGAGGAAACATAATTTTTGGAAGTTCTTTTCCCAGTATCATTCCTTGCAGATATACTAGGGTTGACTACAAAATTCTATTCAGGTTTTGTGTCTCTTGGGAAGTCTCTTTAGCACCATAATATTGTAAAGGTGAGCAGGGGTGCCCTCTTCTAGCTTGGGAGGGGGTCATGAGTTTGGCATGAAGTAAGGAGGGTGTGAGGTCAAGTTTTACAACAGAGAAGATGTGGGAAATGTGAACTCATTTTTATTCCCTTCTGATATGAAGTGTAAAATGTCACATGTCCTTAGTGAAGAAAATGACTTATGGATCTGCTAAGAGCAAAAATGAAATCATTTCAGGCTCTTTAGCAGCCAGACTCACCACGCACTTCAGTTTGTAAGACACAATGCCTGTAAAGTGACCTTGCAATACAGCTTTAAAGGCAAGGCCCTGTTACACAGTTCAGCTACTGTAAAAGTGCTTTTAAGCTGATGGAGAGATTAAATAAACAATTGTCTTTGCCTTTTTCTCCAAAACCTTAAAATCCGAGGATATATGGGTTTCACTGAGCAAATTACTGTGGCTTAACAAGTGGCTCATCTGCTGAACTGTGGGTACTGGTCCTGTACACCTGGTTCATTTGTTGATGAAAGTGGTTTGAGCCACTGTGGTGGTTTTTTGATAAATACACAAACAATTTATGCCCCAGGTAGCTGTCCCAGCTCAGCTGACAAACAGCAGCTCTGTCAGCTACAGTAACCTGACCACATCCAGGCACACATTTAAGCAGGTTGGATGTGATAGTCATGAAAGCAGGCTTGGTCTTCACTTTGGAGAGGTTTTACCTTGCCTAACCTCAGCTGTCAGAGAGGGGGATGTCAGGAATTTGCTGACTGGGCTCCTTCCCACAGTCACTGGGAGGAGATGGTGCTGTCAGGTGATTGCTCGTGTGAGGGGGAGCAAGTTGTCCTCTGGAGGAGTTTGCCTTTCCATGTTGGGTGGTGAGGGGAAAGCTGAACAGCTTGTGCTGCAGATAGTGACTTGATGATTTGAGATCAGTTATTTACTCTGTCAAGCTTTGGGATTGAAGGTCAGTGCTAGGGTTTTTTTGATAACATCCCAACTGAAAGAATTGTGTGAGAAGCTCAGTTTATGAAAGAAAAGGTGATTCGTGCCTTCATGTGTATAAAAACATCAAGCCAAACAAACAAACAGAAAAAACAACACTGGAAAGGGAATCCATACTGTTTCAGAATCTGTAAATGGGATAAAAAAAGAGGACTTTGAGAGGAGGAGGGAAGATGTTCCTCTGAATTTCAGGTGGATATATGTCTAGGGTCCAGATAAGCTATTAAATTATAAACTATTATGGATCATTTAATATTGTATTAATGTGACTGGTTTTGAGACCCTTTCTTTTGAGTTTATATCTTAGGTTGCTTGTTATTATGCTTCAAAATCTGCCTGCTTTGCAGAAGAGTTACCCAGGGTGGTGTAAAGTTGGCTGCCAATACAGCACTGCTGGTAAAATATCCACAGAGCAATCCCATGAGGTGGCAAGGAATTCAACAGGGGCCAGCTTTGTAGGCTAACAAATGGAGGGAGGCTTGGATAAGAGGTTGCTCAAGGTGGTTGATAAGTGAGAAGTATTAAACATGTGATGCAATAGCTTGAATGCAGTGCAGTGATGATATTTTCTGATATCCCACAGAACCAACATTTTTTTTTCCTTACTTTGAACTTGCCATTGGATAAAAAAAAAATAAAAAATTGCTGTATGCTGACATTACAGCAAATGCCAGAAAGGACATTTCTTCATGGCCTTGTCAGAGAATGAAGTAGCCTAATTTGCTCAAATGTTTTAGTGCAAAATGTTTCCCTTTGTTTATCTTTCATGTCCATAGTAAAAAAAAAAAGTCCTTTTTTTTTTAATGATCTCTGTATGTGTCTTGCCACTGTTCAGTTTGAAAAACCTGTTACTAACTAACACTAGATTTTTCTCTTATCCTTTTGGGGAGTTTACAGAAAAGAAGGGTTTTGGGGGGTTGGTTGATTTGTTTTTAAATTGTTCTTTGCATGTAAGGTTTTTTAGCTGCTGGTTAACCTTAATCAGCATTTTCATAAGCAGATGTTTCAGAAGAACTCCCTTTTCTCCTCCCATAGGAAACATAAGCCAGGACAAAATGAAAGACAACTGTGAGACAAGGATACAAAGGTTGCCATAAATTCTAGTGCTGTTTCAAAGTTAGGTGAAGATGGACTCCAGAATCATGATAAATAATGTTTACAGATACATTTATATACAGATACGTTTTTAAAACTGCACCTCACAGATGAAAATGTCTATTCATTATTCTGGAAATGCAGTTTATTAAAGCATCACCGTGGTGTTACATGGGAGGACATCAACTTGCAATTCAATCAGTTGAAGAAAAGTTTAGCTTTTAATTTTAAATGCTATGGTTGGCTTTTGCTTAGTTCTGAGGTTTTATTATTATTTTCTATCTTCTATGTTCAAAAATATTTTTCATTGCTGTGTTACAAATCATGGGAAACTGTGAGTCCAGTTCTACACCCAGCAGTATCAAAGTGAGCTGATAAAGAGAGGAGTTCTCTTTTCTAGTTCTAGCAGTCCTGTGTTCTATTTGGATGAATATATAAACAAAAAAATTACAGGGAGAACCTGTCACTTACTCCAAAATTGCTGTGATATCCACTATAGTCTATGAGTATGGGATAAAATATATCCCAGGCATCAACCTGAGCGCTGAGACTGAAATCTCAGGGGTGTCCTTGCCTTTCTGAAATAGCAGATGTGAAAGACTTTAGGTTTCCTTCTCACTGGTGTAGGGTTTGTTCAATGTTAGTAATTGCTACAGTCAATAAACATTTACATAATTGTTTGTGGCTATAATTAAATGGTTAAGAATATGCAACTTTGCTTTTGTGGCAGTTGAACGTAGCCAGTAAAGAGAGATATTTAAACATAATAGTATATTTTATGTACTAATCCCATGTATTAACAAGACAAGAGGGAGCTTTAGCTGTGCATTTAGTTCTAGATTTTAAAGAAAGCATTGACAGATATAGTAGTACAAGATGTTAATTAAATTTGGCTTGTCTAAGTAGGAAGATTATGAAATGCATAATTAAGACTCACTCCACATTTTAGAAAAAAACCACCTGAAAGTATTGTTTATCCAGTAATCAGTAATTTGTGTCAGGTTTACTTCAATGAGCACTTCTGCAATTATTATTGCAAGAAATACTTATAAAAATGTGCTGATGCTGGAGATAAAGGTGGTTATAAAGGGCCTGGAAATGCACCTCTGTTGTGCCTAGGTGAATGTGTTTAATTAAATATGCTGTTACATATTAATATGCCACTACATTGGCTTGTGGGGTATTCCAACACTCCAAAAACCTCAGCACTTCCCTGGATCACCACCACCAGTCCCTGCACAAAGCAAACAAGTGAAATAAAAATACAAACACAGCAGTGCCTTTTTACGTCACTTTATTTCTAACTGCAAATGTCAAACAGATTAAGGGTGAAAGACATTCTCAAGAAATGTTAACATTGCCATTATAAGATGATGGGTTATTGATCATTTCCATTCTGGCTGATTATAGGTAGTGTTGTGCTCTTTTGTCAGGGCTTGTTCTGGAAGCCCAGAGAGCTGGCTGAAAAGCAATGTATGAGCTTTACCAGCTGCAGTTTCAGATCCAGAGCACCTCTCCCTGCTTGGCAGTGGCAACTGGTGCAGTAAATTTAATAAATGTGCTCTTCCTTCTTTCTCCTCCTTAATAACCAAGGTGATCAAACTCAGAGCACATAAATGACACCTCTTAAAATTTGGTTTAGCCTGCAGCGGGTCACTGCCTTTTTCTGCTTTCTGAAAGTGTCCACAAAGTATCCAAAAGTCTGCTGGTGGCATAGGAGCTTAAACCACGGGACCTTGTTTGAGAATTGGATGTGAGGTGTGAAGTGCATTTGGAATTACCAATTCCCTTTTGTTTGGACATGGTGGCAGTGCAGTGACATGCAGGTTTATCTCAGGCATGAGGGAGAGCAGTAGCCAAGCTGGCTCCAGAGCAGAGAACATTCCAGGCCCTCCCTGGGACCTTCTTACTCTTTTCCTTGTGTTTGTAATATGTGATTTAACAGTAGGAACAAAGGTTTGCACAGCATGGCTTGTATATATATATATAAATTGAGATTTCTCTCTGTTACCAAAATATAAATTATTAGCACAGGAATATTTATATAATTTGATGCAGATAATAATCTGCATCAGTACATGTTTGACACAAATGTCAAAAGTTGCTGAAGCATGCAAAGAAATCAAAGGCTCTCACATCTTCTTTCTTTCAATTCTAGGCTAATGCTAATGTCACTTTACAATGTGAGTATCAACTTAAGAGGCTTGAAGTACATCAGTGAAAGTCCAGGTTTTATTCCCCTGCTTTGGTGGCTGTTGAATGGTAAGTTGCTCTAAGAACCTGGTGAACTGTGACTTTCAAGATTTTGTAGATTTGCAATAGATGTTGCAAATAACAAAGCAGAAATTTATATCTGTAACCTGATTAGCTGATATTAGAATAAAAGTAAACATAAAGGACAAATAGCTGGAGGGCAAAGATGTGCATTTCCCACAGAATTTTTGCCACTGTATGTAATATTCCATTAATGTAAAGTTTTAGGGTGGTAGATTTAAGAATAGGGATTGGAGAAATTTGATGGAGTGATTTATAAAAACAGCCACTTGTGTCTTCACATACAAACTTTAAAATAAACCTTAAGGGGAAACTACATATCTGTTCACTACAGTGAACAAAGGAAAATGTACACATTTGGGGGGAGGAAGCCAAGTCTGTAATTTCACTGACCCATTGCAAAAGTGTCTCTTTCTGAAGAGAGGCCTTGTGCTCTAGTAGGACTTGGGGCTCCAGGGCTGGAGAACTATTCCCAGCTATGCCTTTGGCCAGTGCAGGACTCCAAGGACGTCAAGGACTTGTGTTGTCACTGTCAGGAACATGAGTGACATCAAGGCTCTGCTCTTTGGGAGGCTTCAAATCCCTGTGCAGGAGCCAGCAGGGATTGACGTTGCCAGTGTGCGTTGGACTGGGCTGGCAGCTGTGTGCACAGCTTGTGAGGGACAGCAGGGGGACAGAGCTGTGACACTGCCCTGCCTGGGCTTTCTCAAGATTTATGAGGAGATTTTGGTGTGCAGATAGGACTGGGGAGGTTAATTATCCTTCTGTGCTGCTAAAGCCCTGCTAAGGTACGACTGCTAAATACTTGGAGCAGCTGAAATGAGAGAGATTGCATCTGCTTTTTCCAGACCTTATTTTGATGCTGATTTTTTGAAAAAGCTTTGGTTAGGGTTGGTAAACTGAAAGCTATTTGTATAGCTCATGGTTCCTTTAATTATTTTACAGAAAATGTAGCTGCTCAAGCTTTTCATCAAATAATTTCCTGCTGTGGAATGCCACAGGCTCTCTCTTCCAAGGTCTCAGGAAATTAAGTAATCCTTGTAAGGGAAAACACCATTTCTATAGGAGTTTTTAATATATTTTGATAAAAAATGGGATCCTCAGAGAACATCAAATACATGGTCCTTTGTTCAGCTGTGTTTTGAAATTTTACACATCTTAGTCCAGGTTTTCCTTTAATTCATGATGGCTAATATTATATATATAAGTTGTTCTAGCAAAAAATACCAACCCAAAACATGCTCAAAGAATCCTGTCAGACTATGAGTTCACAAATATGCCCTTCCAATTGTTGTGATAAAACAAAAAATATAACAATTTGATGCAGTCTGTTGTCTGAAAAAGGTTCATAGGTCAAATAAGAGGATGAAATGGGCAACATTTATAATTAATTTGCAGCTACTAATGGAAACAAGAAATGGAAAGGCTACTCTGCAATTTGGAAGTGCTAATTGTTTATGGCTGGGTTGTAGAAAGAAGATGATCGTGGCTAATTCCTTGACTTTTTGATAATAAACTTCTCCAGTTACAGCAAAGGAGGAAGGTTTTCAGATAATGCAGTTCTGCAGGTTCAGATTCCTTTGGAGGAAGTCTGCTTTCTGTCAAGAGAGAGCTGACTGGTTTGGGTATCAGATGAGGGGTCAGATCCAAGACCCGATCTTGTTCCCATCATTTTGTGTGAGATCTCTGTAGTTTTCCAACATTTAACCTATTTCTAAATGTCTCTACTTGGAAAATTCAGCAGCTTCCTCCCACTTTTACTCCTCTCCTCTTTCCCTGACCAGCATCTTCATGTTCTGCTAGCCAAGATTCAGCTCATAAACACCTGGAGCTGCTACATTATAAGGTCTTGTTTTTTCCATGCAGGAGAGTAGAGCACTACCCTGTGCTGGCAGAGTATCCTGGATGTTCTGCCTGCCTGCAGGAAGCTTCTTCAAAGCCTGTTTTGTTTAAGGCTTATGACATGACTCAGCTTTCCAGTTTTGTATGCTTTTATCACCATTCCCACTAAGAGAGGCCCCAGAAATCATCCTCTGATATTTTTTTTTATTTTCAGAGAATCATCCTGTTTGCTTTTCCATTGTCAATCTCCAAAGGTCCATGGCCTAAGCCTATATGCATCAGCCCATCTTTCTTCCATTTGTATGCAGCTGATAAATCCCTCAAATTCCTTCTCTGAGTTCTCAGTCTCTGCCCATCCTTGTTCCCTAAAGAAAAATATCCTTCCCATTAAATGAAGAGAGCAAATAATTGACTTGATTGTCTTTATTTCCCCTTCTTGTATTTGAAGCAAAGATGGATTTGATTCAAGTTGCCTCACAGAATTTTTGAAGAGGCAGAAACATGCCTTGATGTTGAATACACTGATTGGAAGAGATAGAAGGGAAAAAAAATCTATTAAAGGTTCCTAGTGCAGTAAGAATGTTAACAGCAAACTGTCCTACTGTCTTTGGGAAACTTGGATGAGCTGGTGTGACTTCATGTTCACTAACAAGAATTCTTAATAGATCTTTCTGCTGAAGGCTTTACTGATCATAGGAGAAAACCAAATGTTTGACATAATTTTCGAAGATAATTCAGGTCTCTGTAGTTTTAATACTTCATGAAGTGGACTGTCTTTTTCTTCCTATGTTTTCTGCCAGTTTTAAACTTTCTAAATGATGGACACCCTTTAATAACCAACACAGATCACTAAATCCTCTGTGTAGGTATCAGCTGTGCCTGCCTACACCTTCCCAGCCTGGTGCCAGCATAAAGCACATGAATGATGACTCAGATTTCTGTCTGTGGAGCAGCTTGTGGGATCAATGGAGTTCTCCTCTTGTGGAGCACCATGTGTTTGCAGAGCAGCTGTTCCCATCTTGGACAAAATAGGCAGCTTTAGTTTCCTCCATCAGCTGCTATCCCTGTGCTGGTGTCCTGGCTGAGGGTTTCACATAACTTTCAGATTTAAAGAAGCCCTGTCCTCAGCCACAGAAAAAGAAGCCTGTATCATATTGAGTGGAAATCCACCTGAGATTTGTCAGTATTTTTTTTCTGGTGTTTTCCATCTAAAGATGCAATAAGACCTCCACTCTGTAACTCCCAAAGAAGTGGATTGAAACATTACTTTACCAAGGATCTCTTGAAGTATAAGAACTAACAATCAGCTCAGGTATTAATATTAAAGACTAAATTATTTTTCATTTTTTATCATTCAGAACATTTGCCAACAAATGAGAGCTGGAGAAAAGGTGTCTAGGCTCTTCTCTACTTTCTCTGTTTGGTTGAGGTTTTTTGGTTGGTTGGGTTTTTTTAACATTGTGTGTCTTTATTTTCTCTTCTTTTCCACTTTCCTTTTCTTTGAATGCAGTTTAAAAAATTTGTCTCTTTGGATACTTGAGAAAGCATGGAATTCAGAGACACTTGGTTAGTGATACGTCTTGTCCATAGCTGGGAAATTGCTCCAGGTACTTCATTAAATAAAACACAAAAAGAGACATAGGACTAATTTTAGATCTTGCCCTTCAGTTTCCCCCACCACTGTTCCATGTGGAAATCCAACCTTGTTTATCCAAATTCTTTGCAAATTATGGTCTCTACTAGAAATGCTTGTATGAAGCACATTCTCACTTTGCTGCCTTCACCCTCAATATTTGCTTTTCATTACTAACTCTGAAGGTTTCTAATGCCTTGTTCTTCTGTCCAAATTTGTTATGGTTGTGAGAGCTTTTGAAATTTCAGGTTGTTTGCATGGCCTCATGTTTAAAAAACATCTGGACAAACAGAACCATCATATTTATAAACTGATGTCTGTATTAAAACAAATTCTGCTTCATAAATCAAAACCACTTTCAAGTGCTCAGCAATTTCATCCTCTTGTCATAGAACCATAGAATATGCTGAGTTGGAAGGGGCCCATCAGGATCATGAAGTCCAACTCCTGACCCCACAGAACATCTCAAGAATCCACCATGTGCCTGAGAATGCTCCTTGAACTCTGGCAGGCTTGGGGCTGTGACAGCTTCCCCTCCCTGGAGCTAATTCTAGTGCCCAGCCACCCCCTGTCTGAAAAACCTTCTGATACCCAGCCTAAATCTCCCCTGACTCATCTTCATGCTGTTCTTCAGATGATGAAATTAATCTTAAGGAGAGGATTGCCCTTTAAGACCACATCCATTTGGGTGAATGCAGGGATGTCAGCTCTGACGCAGAGTTCCCTGAGCCTCAGTTATCTGGGAGGCTGGAAGAGTGGCCAGGGCAAGTCTCTTGGAATGTTTGCCCTTTTCCATACTCATACTTTTCCATACTCAGCTGCTTGCCTGGATGGAGCTCTGGGCTGTCCTTGCCATCTGAGCAGGAGCTCCTTGCCCTGCCTAACAACTCATGCAAATTGATGTTCTGTGAGGAGCAGTGTTACCCAGCAGCTACAGAGCTCTGTGCAATCTCCTCTTCATTCTCATCCCCTCAGTAGTGGCCAGGCAAATTGTGATTGAATTGCTGCTTCAGTTTGAATCCTGGGAGTCTCTCTCAAGGATTTCCCTGAGAAAAGTATGACAAACATGTCTGTAGGAGAGTGGGGAATTCTCCTTAGCTGAACTCCATGTGGGAGCAGCCACCCAACCAGGAAGGAGCTGACAGAAACCCAGCTGGAATATAGGAGCTGTGGCAGAAATATTGCAGAGAGAAAGTGCATTTGTTTCTGTAAGAATTGCAGCAGCAAAGCTTGGTCTTTTTTTCTACTTTGGTGTTCTCCCTGCTTCTTCCCCTCAGAGCATCTTTACCACAACATTTCTTATCTCCTCAGACCTATCAACAGTATCGAAATGTCTGGAAAATTCTGCTGCTGCAGGTGCTGCCTCAGCCTTGCCAGCATTGGCAATGTAAAAGGATCTTACAGGGGGAAGCCCTGGCCGTGGCTGGCTCTGTTGGATATGCTGTGAGCACAGATAGTCTGACAGGCTCATTATAAGGAAAGACTGAGAGGCAGATTGCTCCTTCCTGCTGGAATCAGACAGGAATTGAATTGAATAATACCTACAGCAGTGGTGAGAAGCTTTTGAAATGATAAAGTCATGGAATAGTTTAAATTGGAAGGAATCTTAAAGAGCATCTCATTGCAACCCCCCTTCTGTAGGAAGGGACATCCTTCCACTAGACCAAGTTGCTCAGAAGTCTATGCAACCTGAATTTGAACACTTCCAGGGATGAGGTATCCACAGCTCATTTGGTCAACCTGTGCCAGTGCCTTATCGCACACATAGTGAGGAATTTCTTCCTAATATTTAATCTAACCATCCCCTCTTCCAGTTTTAAGCCATTGCCCCTTGTCCTGTCACATTTCTTTGTACAAAGTCCCTCTCCAGCTCTCTTGTAGCTCCTTTAGGCACTGGGAGGGGCTCTAAGGTCTCTCTGTAGCCTTCTCCAGGCTCCCCAGCTCTCAGCCTGTCTCTATAGCAGAGGTGCCCCGGCCCTCTGATCATCATAATGTCCCTCCTCTGGACTCACTCCAACAGATCCACGTCTTCCTTATACTGTGAGCTCTGGGGCTGGTGGCAGCTCTGCAGGTGAGGTCTCACCTGAGCGAGGCAGAGGGGCAGACTTGCCCACGGTGCTTTGGATGCAGCCCAGGACACCTTTGGCTTTCTGGGCTGTCAGTGCACTTGGCCAGCTCATATCCAGCCTCTCATCCACCAACACCCCTGAGTTCTTCTCCTCAGGGCTGCTCTCAGTCTCCCAGCCGGTACTTGTGCTTGGAATTGCCCCAACCCATGTGCAGGACCTTGCAATTGGCCTTGTGAACTTCTGTGCTCTTGTACACAGGCACAGCTGTAAGCAGTGTGCTGGCAATAAATCTTGCATTCAGGTGGCCAGGGGATGGTGTGGCCACGTGTAAATTGAGTTCACACAACTCTGAGCCAATTGTGGATAAGCTGTTCAGCATTGATGTAATGCAATTACTTAAATACTGCTGTAGGGGACAGTTCATCTGAGAGCCTGGTGCTAATGACAGATGTGACTAAAATCCATCCACGTTATCAGCTGCCTTTTGTCAGTGACTGAAAGCCAGTGACATCAAACTGAGCTGGCAGCTTGCAGGACGTCAGCAAACTCCAGCAGTTTCAACACCTTGGTAAAATTACATCAGCGCTGTACGATGGTGATAGGTTTGTGCTATGCCTGTGATCCTGGCTGAGGCAAGCAGCTTGATTTCTCTCCCTCTTCCCCAGAAATAATGGTGATAGTTTTGAAATTGTAGTTGGAGATGTGTGTGCTGGTGGTTGGGAGGATGTGATGCACTGATTTGATTACAGCTAAAGGATTTTTTTTTGATCTTGTACAAACAAAATGTTACTCAGCTAGTGTAGAAATGACTAAATCTGGAAGCTGTTGACATAAATATAATGCTGAATAATGAAGATTCCTTACATTTCTCTGAGTGCTTTGTAGACAAGGCTTTTAGAAAACGTCCCTAATGATATTGGAGACAAGAGAAAGATTTCTCTGGTATTTTTTTTAAATCCTCTTAGGAAACATGATTATCCTCAATAAGTAGTATTCTCAAAACCACATGTAATCCTCAGGGAGTGTATTTTAAGGCATATGTATTTATTTAACTCAGAACATCTCAGAATGCATTCAAAACAATGGCAATCTGAGGTTAAATGTGTATTAAGTCATCTTCTGGTGCAGGATCATTTCCTTCCTTTGCTGGATGCCCGCGTGCCTAATCTGTTCTTCATTTGAGTGACTCAAGCTGTTGAGCTTCCCTGGCTGCTGCTGGAGATTCTTCCTAGAACCTCTCTGCTCTTACTGGAAAATGTTCTTGTTCATCAAGCTGGAAATCATTTCCTGATCTCCTACAGATCCTCATTTTCTTGGCTCCCCTGCTAAGGTTTCTCCCCTGATCGATTCTTTAATTTCTACAGCCTTTAAACACTTGCAGATAATATTAATATTGATTCCTGTAACAGTATTAATAACAAAGCTCTTTTCATCTTACATATATGAAGCTTCCCAGCAGTACTGCAAGCCATTAAAAGTATTAGTGGCTTTATTTCATGGAGGAATAATGTCACACAGAGGAAAATTGTAAATGAACTACATAGATTTCACTCCCCAAAGCTTCTTTCTTCTTACCTATTTGGGCTGTAGTTTGTGGCTGCTATTTCCAATGATTAAGTGTAGAATAATACTAAGAACAGAAAAAGGGGGAGGTGATCTGTGCAGTTGGAGCAATATATCAGGCAAAAATATAGGCATTAAAAAATACACAGTGTGGAAGGCATGGAGGCAGAAAAGGAAGGCAAGAGAGGGCAAATTCAAGGCTTCTAGTCATATTTTGATTAGGTCAGAATAAGTCTGAAAACCAAAACTTGTACCAGGTTTTTTCAAAAGGATTCACTGAAGTGTTGCTAGCCTGGAAATAGGACATAAAGTCTTGCTGTCTGTGAGGCTGAGCTGCAGCATTTCCCCAAGAGTTACAACTGCTCATCACTCAAAGTTGCACCTGCAGGTACTGCTGGAGATGATGATGGAAAGAGACTCCTTAGAGCCTTCAGCCTGGGTGTCAGCAATACTACTGGCTGTGCCATGGGTGTGCAGCACTAATCACAGGACTTTTATTGATTTGACATGTTTAAAATTGTCCAGCATACCCAACAGCTAGGATTCTCGTTGCACGGAAAAGGAGAAAATGCACGTTGTTTTTTGGGTTTAGACAATACCTGTGTCCTCAGATTATAGCCCACCCTGCTGCTTTTCCAGGAGAAAGTAGAACTCCTTTCTTAAGAGGTTAACACCTGCTTATTTCCATTTATGATGGAAGATGGGGGAAGAGAGAGAGAGAGTGCCTGGCTTTTGGGTTAGATCAGATGTCACAATCTTTAATATTGTTCTTCAGCCTTGTGCTGCTGGGAATTACTTAAAAATCCCCATCTCAGCAGTGAGTTTCATGCTGAAATCCAGAGTCTTCTTCGGTGTCCATCACATCCTGTTCTCTGGCCCCCCTGAGTGCTTTCAACCCTTATGCTTTAATGAATAATTCTCCTCAGTCCTTTTTCAGGTCACCAGTGTTACATGTGAAATAAGCCAGGAAAGGAAAGAACTTGCCTCAGCCCCACCAAATGCCTCCTCCAAGCTCAGTGCACTCTGGTTCACCACTGCACTGGTTTTATGCTCCTTCAGTGAGATTTTGGTCTCTCTGGTGATTTTGTGCTCAAAGTGATCTGAATTAATTTTCTCAACCTTTCTGCACAACCCTTTTTCAAAAGCTTGCTGAAGACTAGGTATGCTAATGAAAAACACATTAAAAATGCATGGCACGTGGGACAAATAACTGCTTCAGCTATAAAAATATATTAGATGTTTTCATTTGGAATATGCAGAATAGGGAAGTCTTTCTACCACATGCTTTTGATAAAGCTGTAAACCACTAAATGCAAATGGGCCGTTGCAAATGATTAAAATGTAATGCTCCTAATGTTTCAGTAATTAAAAATGCATTCTGTGTTCTTAGCAGTGGAGTTATTACATGTCTTCCTGGCTTAAGTCAGTCAAAGGTCTTTGCTGCATTTCCCTGGCACATTCCTGAGCAGCAGTGCTTCAATACCCATTTCAATTTTGTGCAGACTGAATTAAACACTTGGAAGGTTGATACGTGGTTGCTAGAAAGTTTTATAAAGATTAATATTTTATTGAGCTTTGAGGAAATCTGAAGCCTCATATAAAAAGAAATTAAAGAAAAGCCTAATGATTTACTGCAGATTTGATTTGTTAGTCTGTTTTTAAGTCTGAATAATCACGGGATATTGTTTGTTCATGGCAGTTTGTTCTGCTCTTAAATTGGATTGCATCCAACAGTACATCCTGGGTACTGACTGGATAAATTCAGGGTGATAAATTCCCTGCTTCACAGCAGTTTCAACATCTGGAAAATAAGAGAAAGGTTCCTGGTTATCTCTCCCTCGCAAACACTGCTGGGCAGAAGCTGCTGAGGGAGGACAAAAATGTGGTTTTCAGGTACCTACTAGAGCCAGCCAGCCACAGCCAACAGCACTGGGAATTAGGACACTTCCGTTATTCCCTGTCTGCCTGGTGGATCCTAACAAGCACTGGGTGCTTTTCTTCCCTGCTTTTAGACCCCGACACAGAGGTCTGCCTGCACGCCCTGCGCCTGCTGCAGTCGGTGCTCCTGGAGCCGGAGGTGTTGGCCAGGTCGGGCGCCGAGGTGCGCGAGACGCTGCCCTTCCAGCGCATCGTCGCCCTGTCCCAGAGCCGCAATGCAGAGCTGCAGGCGCTCGCTAAAGAACTCCTTGAGGATCTTAAAATATTTGAGTACGAAGCATAGAAGAGCTCTACGACACCAAATGCTTACGTCTTTCCTATATTTTTATGCTGCAAGAGTTGTTGGAGATGGGCTTGACTGAAAAAAACCCCTCTGCCTGAGTTCCTCTGACAGAATCCTTTTTGGGAATTCGAATTAACCCAATGAAAATTGTACTTGTTGGGTTTTAGATGCCCAGATAAAACCTTGGGTGATCTGGTAGAGATGGGACAGGCTTAATTTCTTTGAGCAGAATTTTATTGATAACGGGTTTCCAAAATGGTCTGTGGTTATTTGCTGTCTAGGTGGGGTAAAATATTCTCATTCCTTGATAACAGTTCATTGAAGCGGTAAATAATCCTTTTGGTCCATCCTTAGGAATTATTGTACTGTGAGAAAAAATCTGTTGCCTTTTCTAACTCTTCTGTGTCAGAATGCACCCCAAGTTCCAGTTTTATTGTTATTTCTCACTTCTCTCTTTCTGTTGTAATAAAACAAAACTGAAATTCTGTAGCATGTAACAGATTCTGCTTTCAAAATCTGTATTCAGATTCACTCTTAACTGCAAGTCAGGCTGGTCTGTGGCTGCCAGGCATGCTAGAAACTGGGCTATTGTTTTTAGAAAAGCCCTGAGACTGGAAATAAATTTCTGTTGTCTGTGGTACCCAGTTGTGTGCTGAAGAGGCTAAAAGGAACTGCTGCTCTGTCATGAGCAGCATCACATGCCCTCACAACCTTGGGGTTTGTTGGAGCTTCTGAGTACAGCTTGCTTACCTCAGGGGTAAATACAAACACTTGGTGCTGGATATTGGTAGAATTTATAACGTTTTTAGAAAATAATAGCACTCATTCCTGTGATGTCAGAAACAGAGCCAGTTAAGTGAGGCTATTCAAAGGAACAGCAAATGAGAAGTGCAGTGCTGTGGTAGCACCTTTTTCCATACTAAAGTTATTGCACCTCACCTGGGAATGCAGCATGTTAATAAAACACAGTGTGAACTTCAAATTACAGAAAACACAAAGTAAGCTCCATAGGATTTAAATATTATGATTGGCAGACAGCTTTAGAGGGAGAACAGTGTAAAATGTGTAAGTTAAGGTATGGGGCATCTCCCTTTAGGCTGTTTGCAGAATGATGGATGTTCAGAGTTAGAAATGTAATAAATCAGCTTGAAATTACTTGGCTCAGATGCTGCAGATGGTAACAGTCTGGCTTGGGGCTGTAAAATGAAGATTGAGATCTCACATTCCGGTGGGTTGCACAGGGTTCTGCATGTAAGCACAACACTGAACTTACCAAGCACAGATTTGTGGAAGGCTTTAAATCTTCTGTAAAGTGTGCTTTCTTTGGATTTGTTTTCTTATCTTGCTATCCTAGTTAATCCTCCTAGAGTTTAATCCTAAAGGGATCAAAATGATAATTGGTAGTTTCCTGGAATATCAACTCATGAAAGTGTTTGCTTTTAAGAAACACTGAAGGGCATAATCTACTTTGCATTGAATTATCTGCTCACAAAGGTCTTTCATCACACTTTGGAAGCCAGTAAATAACAGAAAAAGAAAAAAGTAGTTCTGCATGCAGAAAAGCTGATGGAGCCTCATGTCCTGTGGATCTGAGATATTTCTTGAAAATTTCCCTGCCCTTCCCAACCTGCAACTAAGACCTTCCAAGGGTCAGTGTGGTGTGCACAAGCTGGGGGTGACACAGGTGCTCACCACCAAGTCAGTAAACTGTGGTGAAGGGACAAATTCAACCATATGAGAGGGACTGGCAGTGCATCCACACCTAATTTCCATGTGAAATCTGGAAACAAAGCAATCAGGACCATTCGTCTTAATTGCGTGTCCACTGGCATGGTCAGCCATGCTCAAAGTGGTGATTTGAGATTCAGTTTTCCCCAGCAAGCTGCTCAGATCTGATGATAAGTTCTTTCAGTGTCTCCCAGATGACTGTTTTCAGGTGTAACTTGCCAGGACTGGCAAAGTTTTGGCTTCTTCAGAGCCAAATCATCAATGACCCACCAACCTCGAGACAGCTTTTTCTGTACAAAGTGTTTCATTAAGCAAGCCTGGAAAATAAGAAAAAGTCACCTCATCTGTGAAATACAGTGTATATTTACAAATTCTGGAGAAGAAAAGTATCAGAAACATTGGAGAAGAACCTGTGTCAAACAGTTCTCTAGGAAAGTCCGTGTGTTTTCCCTAAGCTTACTTTTTCGAGGTGTTAACAATTAATTGAGTTCATGGAAGATAAAAAGACAACATTTGAGGGAAACTTATTGCAGGGAAGCAAATGCATAATACTTTTTTGCTTAGAAAAATAAGTGTCACTGTAGTAAAATGATGCTGAAACAAGGTGAGTGGATGAAAACCAGGGATAAGCCTGACCCTTTAACATTCCAGAGTACTTGTAATGTTCAAGGTTTCTCATACTTAGATGTTTTAGTGAAATTAAATGTACATTAGTAGTTACAGATGGCATAATGTGCTGCTAGGTCATTCTGCTGTTTTTCGGGTTCCTTTCTTCCCTAATCCCCCATTTGATGGGGCCTGGGACCAGCCCCTCCTGCTCCTCCACAGCTCTAGGGCTGTGAACAATTAGTTGAACCTTTTCACCATGGAGTGAAACCTGCAGCTTTCCCCACAGGAGTCTGTTACACCTCGTGCACACTCTTGGATATGTCATGGTGGGATTCTCCCAGACCCTGGCATCTGTCATATACTCTTCTGATGTGCCATAAACTGTTCTGGTGGGGGAGAACTGATCTGTTCTCTCCCACCAGCAGCATCAAGCCTTCTTTACTGTTCCTTTTTCCATCCTAAAATAGGAGGTAATCTCATGCCATGGGCTGTAGAGGAAGCCGCAGTGACTTGTTGTGATGAGATGCCAGCTATTTAGATAGCTAAAATTAGGTGAGGTGAATCCTGCCCTTTGGTGTCTATTTTGCAATAACAGATAAGAGTAAGTTTTCAGATTGCCCTACTGTTTTCAGACAGCATTTTATAATCTTGTGTGTTGATGAGCTTGAGAGATCCCTGTTGGAAAAGAGTGTCTGAAGGCCTAATTTGTCTTCATGTGGTCGGTGCTAGAAATTAGGCTATTAAGTGACTGTGGATCTCCTTTCTCCAGAAAGACATCTTTTTTTGACAGGTTATGAATAAATAAAGTCTCTGAATAGCAGAGACTCCGAAAACTCAGTGTGCCAAAGCTTTATGAAGTTGAACAATGGGTGCCGCACAGGACATGGTGTGACACAAGGGGCTGCTGCAATTAAAGACTGGTCAACATGCATTGTAAATCTCAGCTTTTATTTTGCTTCAGATTTACTTAATTCTGAAATTCAGGATCGTTAGGAAGCTTTATTGGTTTAAAGTCAAGAGTTCAGCCTGGATTGTAAAAAACACCGGCTTTGGAGTGTCGCTTTCTTTGGATCTTTTTGAAAAGTTGGGATTCTTCTGTGTAGTAATTGATTAACTGAAGTATTAATTGATTAACTCCTTTACTTGACTGTTTTGATAGCTTACAGGAGTAAAGGAAGTTCACACAATCAAAGCACAAGCTTCAGTAGCTGGGTTCAAAGTCCAGACTTATTCCAGCTTTGCCATTTCCTCTGTTGCACAATCTCAGAGTTTCAGTGGAGGAGAAAACGTGACTTTGGTGTTGCTTTGAGATTATCAGTTACTCTGGACTTCAACCCACACAACTGAAAGTAAAATTTGACTCGTAGGCTAGCCTGTCCCAGAAGATGAAAAATCTGTTTTAACAACTTGTAGAAGATAGTTCACAGTATCAGCTACACAATGAAAAGTGAACTTGGCTCCTTTCAGTCTGTATACACCATACAGAGCCCTGGAATGATGCCTGTTTGCTGATGCTCCAGGGAGATACTGGCTCTTTATAGTTGACACTGGTGGTAAACTAGAGGCAGAAGAAAAATAAATGAGGAAACCTGAGTAGAAGCAAGCTGGTGGCTCTGTACCCTGTGCCAGGCATGGCAGCAAGAGGGGTCTGGCATCTCTGAAGGGCACTGTGAGAGCTTGGGTAGGAACAGCAACCAGCTGTCCTGAAGGGAGGTGGTGTTTGGTTCCCTGAGGACACTGCCCATTCCCAGCACTCATGAGAAAGGCAGTGAACTGGAGTTCAAGGCACATCATCCTGTTATGGTTGCTTAAGAGAAGGATATAAGTCCCTTTTAAGGTGGCCACAAGTGAACTTTCAGATGATTCAATTTCAGCTGGTTGCACCAGTCATTTAGCTGCTCCTTTGAGTTATCATTTGCACTTGCTGTATGTGCTGATTAGCACAAATGGGCTTTCAGAATTGATAAGATTTTACAAGTCTTGCAAATATTGTATGATTCATCTCCTCTACCGCCTCCAGTCTTGTGAGGACACTGGAGGTGAGGAGAAAGGAGTTTTCCTGGGGAATTAGGAACCCCTTCTTTGTTCTGTTATCCCTGCCCAGTGCTTCTACTACAAGTTATGAGCTATGCAAAGCATGGCTGCCTCTTCATTCCTCTTCATAGCATTTAATTTGCAGCTGCATCTGGCCCTGTCTGTGTTGTTTGGAATTTTCCTGGTTTCTATGCAGGAACTTTTGCAACTGCTGGTTGCTGCTTGAATATGTGAGTTCCAAGTTACAGCTGATAAAAGTCACTTGAGAGCTCTCGAGGTCATAGAGATTTAAACTTCTCCGATGCTTTACGATGACCTTCACAACCTATAACTTGTTCAGTCGGAAACCTTGAAGACTTTGACCAAATTGCACTTGGCACATGCCATTTATGGGAACTATAATTTTTACTGTGGGTGTGACTGCAGTGAAAGAACTTCAAATGCCAGGTCCTTCCAAATGCACGTGTTTGTGCTGTTGGGGTGAAGGTGGGAGAGACAGAAACCACCGTGGGCAAGGCTGGCATGGACTGGGGTTCAGAAGGGGTTGTGTGACCTGAGGTGGATAGAGAAGGTCAGCTCTGACTGAGCTGCCTAAGTGGCTTTTGTGCCACCTGAGTCTTGCTTTGAAGTTGTTTGAAAAGTTTGAACTTTGAGTCTTGCTTTGAGGCAGGGGATTGGGTTTGATGTTAGGAGAGCAGGTGAGCTGCTCAAAGCTCTCTGCAGAGATAAATCCCTCCTTCTGTAGCTGTATCACCACCAGAGTCAAATAAAGTGCAGCAGTCACCCTGTACTAGCACAAAAAAGAAAATGGGCAATGTAGGAGAAAAAGCCCAGTTCTTGGATCTTCACACTTTCCTCCCGAACAGGATCTGTGGTATCCAGAATCAGTTTTGTAGAATCCCAAATGGCTTGGGTTGGAAGGGACCTTAAAGATCATCTCATTCCAACCCCCTGCCATGGGCAGGGACACCTCTCACTAGACCAGGTTCTTATTCAGCCTGGCCTTGAACACTGCCAGGGATGGGGCTTCCCCAGCCTCACAGTAAATAATTTCTTCCTAATATCTAACTTAAATTTCCTCTCTTTCAATTTGTACCCATTCTATCTTGTTCTA